GGTGCTATTTTCCTCGTCTCTAGACCAGGTGATGGGTCGTCCTATCACATTCGATCTCATTACTTCAATATCACAGATCCCGCATCCATGACTACGAGCATGACAATGACATCAACGTCTGCCCCAGCGACCTCAATGCCAACCCCAAGCCCCATATCGACAACTACACCTCCTCAAGACGATTCCGGCTCTAAAAAATCATCGTCCGGGGCGGTCATTGGGGGAGCCGTGGGCGGTTCTCTGGGCGGCCTTCTCATTATTGGGGGGCTTGCTTACCTTGTCTGGCGATACCTCCGCAAAGAGAAAATCCTGCTAAGCAAAAACGAACCTAAAGAGCATGATTTTAACTCACTGGCAACTCAACAAAAAGTTGGGGGATGGGGGCCGTCAGAACTGCATGGTTCACCGTCACCGGTTATACATGAGGCTCCGTGAGTTAGTCGACTTAAGCGGTCTTTAAGATTTGGCGAGGTGTCACGGCGGTTAATAAGGTGGCGGGAGTACATATTCAACAACGACATTACATTGTTATCGCTTGTTACTCATCCTCTAACGAAGGTGTTTCGTTTTTTTTTTTCCTCGTAGAACTATTCCGCATCATCTTTCGTCTCATAAACACGCTGTTAAACGAAACAACGTTTACAGTAACGGGATCATAAAACTTTAACTTAATAGCCGGATCGTGCTCGGGCCATGCCGAGAGTCTATAGACTCTATTTTCTTTGTTTCCTTTGAAAAGAATGTGTTTTATTGTCCTGCTTTACTTTCGAATATTTTGTTGCCTATGGAAGATATTCACGCAAATCATCATGGCCCCCTGTCAAGTTCTTGCTCTGAACCCTGGTAGGAGGATGCAATCGCAGGGGAGGCTGTGCCGGCCCCTTTATCCGCATGCCCGGCGCTTAACCACTTGCGACAGTCATGCGTCGCTGGGTTTCTCTCTTGTCTTGTGGGAGTTAATCATCTTCACTTGACTCGCCTTGTCCTTGGTTTCCCATTAATTCCCCTTGCCTAATTCTCTAATGAGTATCGTTATGTCGATACGCTGGTCCCGTCGCCGCATTCACCTGCTACTTGCATCTCTGCTGACCACCGCTATCTACTTCTGCTTCCAAAACTTGGCTCCCTCTTCACCTCCTTTAAAGACCGAATCACGCTCTAGTCTTGGTGGTAATGCCCATGATATCAACGATCACGATACAGGCAGTGCGAAATCACCTATCGCGCTGGCCAAGCATGACGATGACACCGTCGAGATGGTAGTAGCTAGCATGAAGCGTGAAAACACCACATGGCTTCACGATTATCTTCCGGGATGGAAGAAGAATATTTACGTTGTGGATGACCACAACGCTGAATTAACCGTCCCAACGAATAAAGGAAGGGAGGCTATGGTGTTCTTAACGTGAGCAACTACGGCCCTCTAAAACCTGCTAGACATTCTAACTTTACCCTTAGGTATATAATCGATCGCTACGATTCCCTTCCTGAGAATGTTTTCTTCCACCACGCTGAAAGATTCCAATGGCATAATGACAACCCTGACTATGATGCGCTAACTCTCCTTCAACGGTTTCGTCTTGACCACCTCAAAGAAGAAGGCTACGCCAATCTCCGCTGCGACTGGGCCTTGGGCTGCCCCTCGGCAATTAGGCCTTTCGTCGATGCAACTAATACAGTACACGGTGAAGGTGTTACCTCGAAGCATATATATAAGCAATCCTTTGAAGAGCTATTTCCTGGCGAGGAGGTCCCAAAGACTGTTGCCGTTTCCTGCTGCTCCCAATTTGCAGTACGGCGGAAGACTATCCAAAACCGCTCGAGGGAAGAGTATATTCATTATCGCAAATGGCTACTAGATACCGATCTTGATGATGGGCTTAGCGGGCGAGTGTTAGAGTATGCGTGGCACAGTAAGTTTACACGAAACAACTAAAAAGCTATACAACGACTAATGGTTTGTAGTAATATTTGGTAAGGAAGCTATCCATTGTCCTAATGCTGGAACATGTTACTGTAAGATGTACGGACTGTGCGATATGAATTGCGACGAACAGCATTGTGAAGGCCAGTACACGCTCCCTAAATACTCGAACCTCCCGCACGGTTGGCCAAAGATAGGTTGGAATGGAGAAGATAGACACTGGTCAGGCCTGGAGTAAAGAGTTTGGCGGGTGATGCATATATTTTCCTATAGGAATGGCGTTGGTGGTGCTGGCGAATTAAACGTTTATGGTATGAAACATGATTATCCTGGGGATGATTTATTTAGAGACCTGGAAATGATAGGTTAACAGCATATAAGCGGACATATATTGACATTAATGGAGTCTGGTTGGTTTTAGTAATGCTAATGCTTTATACACAGCTTCGTCGTTAAGATGTCTATTGTAAAATAGATTCTAATGTTGAGTACCTGCGCGACAAGGCAGATAGAGAGGCGAGAGAGAAGAACAAAAAAAAGGCGAGGGTGGCAGGGACAATAGCAGAGGCGTCTCCCTTCGATCCTGAGACGTGGGAAAAGGCCACACTACCACGTAGGCTAAACAGAGCAGCAAAGTAACTCTATGGGTTGAAAGGTGAAGAAGTTGAAGCTACTAATTGGGGGAAATCGGATGAGTCAGCAGGATAGAAAAGCGACGTGATTCGCGCTGTGCGCAAAGGTCGGTTTTATACTTGAACATTTTCACAGCACAGCAGTACATACATTACTAGGTTAATTTGCTCACTCTTAGTTATGGTAAGTACATATCTAGAGAACAGCTAAATACCTCGAGCTGATAGCTTCTTTAGGCAGAGCCAACCTGGACCCTTCGGTTCAAAAACCACAACATCACAGTTCTACTCCTGGTATCTCCTGTTGAGCCGTTCGATTCCATAAAGGCTACCCTTTTAAAAGCACTGCAGAACCGTGGAATAAAAGAAATAAACGGACAGGTGGTACCTGACGACGCTGCAGATATCGAGTTCGGCGCGCCCCTTGACCGGAACAACCTGGAAAAGGGCTGGCTACCACTAGCAATACCTGATGGCAGAGCTGATAAGGGGACAGGGAAAGGGAAGAGTACTGTCTTCAACTCCAGCCCACAAGGGGCTGATCTTAGGGACGCCCAGGCTGTGGCATTCAGGTTCCGTAAAGCCTCAGAGAGGAGTGCGGTCAAGGATGGCGACCTAGAGATGGACCTGGACGACCCTGGATGGGATGTCCTGGTTCCCTCATATGATGATGAAGAGGATGAAAACGAGTGATGATACCGACTTCCCTAGCTATTAAATTCTAGCAATACGAACATCATGCTCGGTGTTTGGACATACGGCATGGTAGGCACGGCACGGCCTGTCTAGTTGTTGCAATTCATTTGGCGTGGGTCGAGACGCTCATGGCCCCAGACGCGAAGGCATTCTTCAGCTCGCTAAGACAGACCCACGGGTTATCTATTAAACGAGACTCTATCCCAAGTAGCTACTAGCACTATATTATAATATTCTACCTAGAAATTTGTTACGGACCACCTGCGGCACAGCCAGGTTACAGACAATGCCTATAATATTGTCGACTGGCCTTTTGCCAGATAGGCTAACACAATTTTTGCATACAGCTACTTACCTTAGGCCTGCGCATGTCCGGAGACGCGTCGTTCGGGGGTAGCATATACATTGCCTTTCCGATCTGTGTCAACGCGAAACACACGATCCGCTATGAAGGTGAGGACGGTGTTGTGCGTTGCGGAAAAGCCATCGATTGCGAAAGCAATTGCAAACCACTTGGGAGATCGAGTGATTACCGTTCGTGAGCACAGACCCGCGCAATCCGCCAGTCGAGCTAATGGACGTGCAGCATAACATCCAAGGCAATCCGTATGTGAAGAACTACGAATTCGACTACACCTTTCCGCAGTGGGGTCATTGCAGTGTCACGATGACCTCTGTGCTCGGCCACCTCCTCAGCCACGAGTTTGAGCCGCGATACAAGAGCTGGACGTCATGCGACCCATCTGCGCTTTTTGACGCTCGCATCGAGGTTTTCGTTGGTAGCAACAGCGAGCCTATCGCGGACAACATCAAGCGACACGCTCGCCGGGCCGACGTGCTCTTTATCTGGACCGACTGCGACCGCGAAGGTGAGTATATAGGCACCGAGATTCGGTCGGTGGCAGCACAGAGCAACCAGGCTCTGGGTCGCGCTGGCGGCACAGTAAGAGCACATTTCTCCAACATCGAAAGAACGCATATCATCCACGCCGCTCATCGTCCCGCCGATCTCGACGAAGCGCAAGCCAACTCAGTAGCTTCACGTATCGAGCTCGATCTTCGTGTGGGCGCAAGCTTCACCCGGCACCTCACTCTGAGCCTTCGTCCTATACTCCAGCGAGGCAATCTGTCAGAGGCCTCTCAATTAATCAGCTACGGGAGCTGTCAGTTTCCTACGCTTGGCTTCATCGTCGAGCGCTACTGGCGCGTTCGGAATTTTATCCCGGAACCATTCTGGAGCATCAAACTGATGCATCGAAAAGCTGGAAAAAGGGTGAACTTTAGTTGGGCTCGTAAACACCTCTTCGACAGAAGGACAGCTGTTATTCTCTATGAGCGGTGTCTCACTTCGCAGAATGCTCAGGTCCAAAAGGTCAAAACCAGGCCAACGAGCAAGTGGAAACCCTTACCGTTGACTACTCTAGAGCTTCAGAAGTGCGGTAGCAGATTCTTCGGAATGGACAGTCAAAAGGTTCTGCAGCTTGCAGAAAAGCTATATCAGAAAGGTTGGATTAGCTATCCTCGAACCGAGACAGATCAGTTCGATCGGGGTATGGACCTTCGCGGCCTCGTCCAGAAGCAGGCGCAGGGCGGCCGCTGGGCTGATTATGCAACGGCGCTGGTCGAAGGAGGCTTTTCGTGGCCCCGTAACGGACATAATAATGATAAGGCCCACCCGCCTATCCACCCGGTCAATTTCGTCAATCCAACTACGCTCTCACATGAAGAGCAGTGTATTCATGAGTTCGTCGTCCGGCGCTTTCTGGCATGCTGCAGCAAAGACGCCCAGGGGTCAAAGACCGACATTAGTATTCTCCATGGACCGGAAACATTCCATGCATCTGGCCTTGTAATATTAGAGCTCTCGATGTCTACCTTTACGATCGGTGGAGCAACCAAGAACTTCCCCCGTTCATCGAAGGCGAGGTCTTCGAGCCGACCGAAGCCATTCTCAGTGAAGGTAAGACGTTACCACCTGGATATTTAACTGAACCAGACCTGCTTGCACTAATGAACGCGAATGGTATCGGCACTGATGCCACCATGGCCGACCATATTGTCACAATTATAGACCGACAATACGTCGAAGCCAGAGCTCAGCCAAGGCAGGCGCGGCATGGAAATGACGAAGAAGAGCCCGAGGAGTTGCCAGCCCAAGCGAGAGGCAGAAATGGTCGTAGAGGTAGAACTGCAGTAGCCCCTCGTGGCGGCAGGAATAGCGGTGCTGGCCGCGGTGGCGCTATCACAGGTGTTCGGGAGTTCATACCCACGACGTTGGGGGTCGCTTTGGTTGAGGGTCACGAGAATATGGGGTTCGAGACTAATTTGATGAAGCCATTTTTACGCAAGGAGGTAAGATAACGTTCTTGATCAATCCCCGTCACGGGCTGCTGATGACAGGCGTAGATGGAGCTAAAGATGAACGCCATATGCAATGGGCAAACGACTAAGACTCAGGTCGTTAACGAAACCATCGAGCAGTATCGAGGGGTCTATGCTCGCATGCAGTAACATCCGGACGTCCTTCGTACGGTGAGGACTGAGTCTCGGTGTACCTACTACTCCGCTGATGTGATTGTAGGCTGTTCGGAAGTATGTTTTCGGTGAAATGAACTGAGGATTGTCGACCTCACCATCGAACCCTACCAGTTGCCGCGCTCCCAACCTACAATCCTATGCAAGAATAAATTCCGACTTGGCGTTGATTCCGCGCCGTCATTTGTTGTCAGCCGACCGACCACCCCGATTCCGTATATCAATGTGAATCATCATATTGATCTACCTCCAAGTACTCTCTCTGCAGAACATAACCTATTGACGTCCCCCTTTCATCTTATCACTAGTGCACACAATCCCACACCGCCCAAAATATAGTACGGGGTGTCCGCCTCCAACAATCCTGTCAACCTCGATTCCACCCTGTCGTTGCCCCCCGATGGGGCAAACAGATCCCACTCAAGTAGAGCAACTGATCAAGTACGAGTTGGCTTTATTGCTATTCTTTCCAAGGTTCCCCTTCCACGTTCTCCAGAAGCCGGTCTCGAGCAACTTCTTCCCCTTGCAATTACTCTTGTCGTAGGATCTAGCTTCGCAAGGCGTGTTCTCTGTCCACTTGAGGCTGTTTGCTCTATTCTTGGAGCGGATTAGTTAGAGCAATTGAAGTTGAAGATAACAGTACAAATTCGTGTATATGACGAGCTTAAGCTCATCCACCTACACGTTCTTGCTGCTATCATTTGACATGATGCTACATATATGCACGGCCAACCAAGCGTAGATCAATTCGCTTCGTTGAAATACAGCACCAATAAGGACGGTATATTTTAGCTAGTTATATGATAATTTCACAATGGGCGGCTTCTATTATTTATATTTCTAAAATACTGTAATGGCCGTATATGCCGGCAGCGATGATACAGCACATACCACTCGACCAAAAGATCATACACAGTGATGACGCTCGTCATCTCTGGTCGCTGCGCTGCTTATATGCTTGATATTGGATGCCACATGACGTGGGCTTGGTGGGCGCATGCTGCGTGGCATGACACAATAATATATATCGAACCTCTAATATTACGTTCTAATATAGAATAGTAGTGCTATAGTGGTAGAGCCTGTCGGAACGGTGGAACCACTATTCCGTAAACCCCTAAATTCCGGTATGGTTGTTACTGTGGCAACCGGCGCCGGATAAACATGAATGTTGGCAGCATCAACATTTGCCCTATCAGGTAACAGGTCGAGTTCGACAAATCTGCAGGGGAAGCTCACAAGATGCAAGTCTTCAAGTGTCTTTCTAGTCGCCATATTAACTACCAACGCATCTTTCTACTCCTCTCTCGAGTTATCTAAAACGCTTTTATCTTCTTATTTGCATATCCGCAGGACACACGACGCGCGAGATTCATTTGTTTACTCCTTAATTAATCTTTGTCCGTCATCGCCCACCAGGAAAAAACACCGGAAGCAAAATGGCGGCCTCAGGTGGCGCGTCTTCAATCCAAGTGACCGTTCGAGTGCGGCCGTTTACAATTCGAGAGGCTGCACAGGTCTCAAAATGCGACGATGGCATGGTTTTCATGGGTGACGGGTCCCTTGCTAGCAATGCTGCCCCTAAACTACAGCAAAAGGGCCTTCGCTCAATCGTCAAGGTGGTGGACGATAAATGCCTGTAAGGGAATCTTTGGACTGATGTCCTTATGCCTTTCCCGAGAGATCGCGAAGCTGACTTACAACCCACTATTAGAGTATTCGACCCCCCTGAAGACAACCCCTTACAACGGTTTTCCAGATCTGTCATCCCCAACAGAGCCAAACGTGGCAAGGACCAGACATTCATGTTTGATCGAGTATTCGACGAGAATACGACCCAGGGAGACGTCTATGAAGCATCTACAAAGCATCTCCTAGACAGCGTACTGGAAGGATATAATGCTACGGTCTTTGCCTATGGTGCGACGGGATGTGGGAAAACGCATACAATTACTGGAACCCCTCAGCAGCCGGGAATAATATTCTTGACGATGCAAGAATTGTTTGAAAAAATCGCAGAGAGGTCGGAAGAGAAAGTCACGGAACTGTCATTGTCCTATCTTGAGATATACAACGAAACCATTCGTGACTTGCTTCTTCCTGGAGGAAGCAAACAAGGGCTTATGCTCCGAGAAGACGCCAATCAGACTGTATCGGTTTCTGGACTGTCCACCCATCGCCCTCAGAATGTCCAAGAAGTGATGGACATGATTATGAGAGGAAACGAATACCGAACAATGTCCCCTACAGAAGCGAATGAGACATCTTCTCGGTCGCATGCCGTGCTTCAGATAAATGTGGCGCAGAAGGACCGTAATTCGGACCTCAATGAGCCTCATACAATGGCGACCTTGAGCATTATCGACTTGGCCGGAAGTGAGCGAGCCAGTGCAACAAAGAACCGCGGCGAACGACTTGTGGAAGGCGCTAACATTAACAAATCCCTTCTTGCTCTGGGTAGCTGCATCAATGCCCTCTGCGATCCACGGAAGCGCAACCACGTTCCGTACCGCAACTCAAAATTAACCAGACTGCTAAAGTTCTCTCTTGGAGGTAACTGTAAAACAGTCATGATTGTCTGTGTTAGCCCTTCGAGTCAGCATTTTGATGAAACGCAGAATACACTGCGCTACGCCAACAGGGCAAAAAATATTCAAACGAAAGTTACAAGAAACGTCTACAATGTCAACCGTCATATCAAAGATTTCCTTGTTAAGATTGATGAGCAGATTGCCCTAATCAATGAACTGAAACAACAACAAAAGGAATCTGAGTCAATCGCCTTTGCCAAATTCAAAAAGCAGAACGAAAAGAAAGAGGCTGTGCTACGTGAATCGTTTGCACGTCTCCGCAGCGCATATGAACACGCCTTACCCGATAGACAGGAGAAGATCGATTGTATGGTACGGCTTAGACAAGTCAGTCGACGGATGTCAGTGCTCTCCGCCTGGATTGCCGCATTTGACAATGTATGTGCAGCACGCGGCCAGGATGATACAATGCCGAATCTCCAGGCAATTCGCAAGTCTGCCCAAGGGATTCTTTTTGAATTGGAAGGCAGCCGTCAACATTACCATCAGAAAATTGGAAAGTCTTCTTGGGAAAGAACCTTGGATTCTGCTCTAGAAGTAGGAATCAAACAGATTCGCGAGTTGGAAACAAGTGATCATACGGATATCGAAAACCTCAAGCGGGAGGCCCAATTGTTGAAGTCTAATGCTGAATACGAAGCACTAAGTGCCGTATCAGAGCAAGATAAAACAGGGGAATTCGAGACTATTCAACGACTTCTTGAGGCTAACTTTGAAACCATATCAGCAATTGAACATATTATGCAACTTAGTGAAGATGAAGCCATTGATACTGGCAAAAAGATCCTTGGAAAACTTTTGGAAACTTGTTGTGCCAACACATCTAACGTTGTTAAACCCAATGGAAGCAGTCCTGCTAAAATGGAAGCATTCCCCCCTACTAGGAACGGCACCCCGAAGAGGCGTAAGAGGGTCAGTCTGGTCAGTCGAGTTTCTCTCTCGAAACCGCTTGTGCCTCCGGTCACAATAACTCCGCCAGCCAACCAAACGCCGATGAAAGGTTCTCCACGGAGGAGAAAAGGACCCGGATTAAGAAAGAGTGTCTATTTTACACCAAAGAAGTTAGGGAAACCTGCTAAGAGAAGTGTTAGATGGAAAGATGATGCCGAAGACGGTCCTCTCGCGGAATTCGAGAAAACTCCGCAAAAACCTCCTGCGTCGCCACAGCACCCATCGAGCTCGCCTTCTTCTCTCCCGATTCCAACTATGGGATCGTCTATTCCTCTACGGTCGGGCTCGAGGGAATCCTCTCCAATACCAACCCCGCCATCTATACCAAGTACGTATCCCAAAAACTCGAGATTCCAGGCTGGGTTTTTGTCTAAGAAAACCAATGAGGGTTCTCCCGGTCCCGCACCCGCGCCTCCTAGTTTAACCAGACTCTCCTTGTCGGACACGGAACAGCCAAGTCCTCTTCGCCAAATCAGCAATAGCAGTATTCTGAACCGAAAGTCGCTCGACCGTGAAAGCAATAACCGTTCGCCGGACGGTGAAGAACCCCTGAAAATCAACAAAGTAGACGCTGTGAGAATCGGTTCCGCCATGCGACGCATTTCCAGTGTCGGATCCGGACCCGGTGGATCTGCCAATCGAACTCGACGCCGTAGCCCGAGTGTTTCGTCGAATAGCCCTCCGAATGAAAATGCCATGTTTACTGCCTCCCAGGCCCGAAGGATGGTGAAAAGCGAAAAGGACCAGGAAGGCAAATACGGTGTACTGGGTCCCAGAACATTCCCTGTCACAAAACCTAACAACAATCAACGGCGAGTTACTTCTATGGACTTGGGCAGTTCTAGCAGAGACGGCATAAGATTTAGCGCAACTGCAATTCCTTCCAGCAGCCCACCTCGATCAAGCTTGCAGGGCACAGGGTCTAGTGCATGCCGTTGATTTTTGATTCCCCATTTTCTTTTACCCTGTTTTTCCAATTTTTACATAGTATTATACCAAATAATTTCCGCGCAAGGGGGTGGATTGTGGTTGGCGTTGTGTGGAAAATTAACTTAGCATTGCCGTTCGGTCTTCAATTCATTTTTTGTATTAATTGCTCCGTCTTTTCTTGACAGAATGTACCTCGCTTATGACTCTTTAATGAACAATCTTGCCTACATCATTATTTAATCATGGTTTTATAGACATAGGTTGGGTAGCATCCTTCAAGGTCAGCCCGGCTGTGTCGCCTCCAGCTTGGCCATATGACATATTACGTGCTAGCTACTGAAACTTATGTCTGCCGTTATTTAACAATGTACCCAATAGCTCCTCCAAATCTCACTCAAGTACCGTTGTCACTCCTTAGCCAATGATAGTAGAATGATGCAGGTGTTGAGAACATCGGCTAACCGCGTATCATCAAATGCCAGTGTTGTTTCCCTCAAGAATTACCAACTATAGTGGAAGCAATGATATAAGGAACGGAAGAAAATAGATATCGGCAAGAAGAGAAGGGGGAAGTTATGTTTTCGGTGCATCAAAGGGGTAGAAGGTTAAAATTCGCCAATGCAATGGTGAGAAAGCGGGTTGATTTCGAGCTCGGCGGAAGGCATACGGGACGGTCTAACGTGGGAGGATGACAGCGGTCATTCTAGGCTAGCCCCTCGAAACCTTTTAGCAAGTTGTTCACCATCCGAGTTTGAAATTTGGGAAGAGTGGAATGAGGAAGAAGAAGTTGGGGGTTCACGCCTAAAGGGCCAGGATCGTTTTGGGGGCGTCTCACCACTCTCCTGAAGTATTGTCACGAGCGTGGCCCAGCCAGCCGTATTAATCAATTGTACGCCATCGGCGGGATCATGTTTAGTAGCCACATTGCAAAGAAGAGCTTCCTCGTCCTATTTGAGGAAGATGGGTATCTTAGTCAGGTAGGGTTCTATGTTTATTGAGCGAATGTTAATGCTTCACTTACCTCACTTAGAATACCCATTCCATGTAGAAAAGCAAGGAGATGGAAGTTGGAAACTGCTTTGATGGCTACATTGGGATCACTGCTGCCAGTTAATTTACTAGCAACACGCCTTAGATCTTGGCTTTCACCAATGATCTCTCGGTTTTCAATTGGGAAAGAGGAGTCGGTGAATACTGTCGTTGGCATAGTTGGGAAGCCGTGGGTAAGCGTAACGAAGAGGTATTCAACAGGGAAGCTTGGGTTGGCGTTCTCCTGAACGCTGACCTTGTACTCATTTATTCTCCGGTAGAATACTTCGGGGATATAACGTGTGATGTTTGCACTATCTAACTCACTCTCTTGCTGAACCAGCATCACGGAGGGATCGGCTGATGGCTCGATGATGTCTGCCCGTACCATTTCAACGGCAGAGTTAGATGCCTGGTAGGCACTAATAGAGATGGCACCATTCTCATCTCCGCTCAAGACACAAGTCACGAAATTCGAACCAAACTGGCCTGTTTCACTCCATTTGCATGGTTTCGGATTCCGTGCTTGAAGCTGAGAGGCAAAGACAACTTCTAGCGAGGAGAGGTAGTAAGAGTCGATATGTCGTTTGCAGATAACAGTTCCATCTCCAGCACCAGAATCGATGAGGTCTGTGAAAATGACTCCTATCTTCTCCATACCGCACAGCCTGGCCACCTGGTCAACGTCCTTTTCATTCTCCCATTCGTGGAGCGTTACTCCATCCACCTCATCCACTTGCGGTGGCTCGTATATAGCCTGTACCACGGCCTTAATACCAAGCGGCACCTCAGTGTATTCTTCATAAGTCCCGTAGAGGAATCCGATTCTCTGGGAGCCAGTTTTCCGCCAAAAGTCCAGTAGTGAGTTAATCAGGTCAGGAGAGGAGAACTCAACATGATCAACCATTCGGAACTGTTGTGGTTGTAATGTTATGGCACTTGGCTGGCACTTGGTACATATGCCGTCAGGCCAGGCTGGATGTCCGGATGGGCAATCTTTCTTCACCCTATAGAAAGGTTCCGATAGGGGAGGCATGTAGGAGCTCTTCAGCTCTGGTTTATTGGTGGAAGAGTTAATTTTACGAAGATATGAATTGAATGAAAGGTGCTTTATCTTCTTTTCAGCCAGGTATTCAGGGGCGTATGGCTCCAACGGCATGCAGTAATCGCACATTCCTTTGGGGCCGTGTCTGCACATCTTTTGGTCAAATGGACGGGGTATCTTTCCATCTTTAGTGTCTAGTCGGTTGTCCAGCTCTGACTGTCTCACAATTTCCCAGGGATTCTTTATTATCGCTGTTGGGGAGGTTGGTTGTCTGGTAGATGATGGTCCATCCTGTTTAGGTACGGCGCCGCCATCTAAACGGTGGGATGCCTCCTGTTTCTTGATACCTCCAGATGGGTCATTTGGGACACCATTAGCAGGTGATTTTTGCACATCATAGCCGACGAAAAGCTTATCACCATGACTGTATCCTCCCAGTCAGTCATAAATATCCTTCCCCATGCCAAAACCACGGAAACGACTCACGATAGCCCAACCCTCTGTATAGAAATGCCTTTTAGTGTCGAAAGATTTCTCTCCTGGCCACCAGTGCCTATGGGTTTATTTGAAAGAGAAACGGAAGATGGGTCGGTATCTTTGGGTAAGTTCTCAAGTATCTAGTAGAAGTATGGAGTGGTCAGAATACCTTTCACCAGAGAGAGAGAAAATCCGGATACAGGTTAAGTAAAAGAGTACGGTGTCAGTCAAGAAAATACCTTTGGCAGCAGAGATGTAAATTGTTCAGTCGGGCTAACCGTCAACCGAAACTGGCCGTTCCGGCTCTCAAATCTTAGGATTATTGGCCGCGGGGAAGCCATGACTGGAGTAGAGAGGGAGCAAGCTGTACCATTTGCTATACTGGGAGTGGAAAGGAATAGCCAGATATGTAAGATAAATAGAATCAGGAACGTATGTTGGTGCGAACGGAGCTGCTGAAAGGCATCGGTGGCAGTTGTACTTTTTTTTCTATGAGTTGTTGTTGCTGCGAAGGCAGCAAGTTCCGTCATAGTGAACCATGTCTTAAAGCAGCGGCATTTTAGGGTATTTTTCGCATTAGAACTCAACGCCGCTTTAACACGCTCATCTAGTCAGCTTTCAAATTTATATAAGAACTTCTTCGACATCAACGCGAATTCACCGATTTGCTCTTGATTCTTTTACATTCTAGACTGGAAACATAACTAAGGACTGGTCTGTTGATTATTTATAGCGGCAACATGCACATATACCCGGTGATTTAACTGAGACTAAATCTCCTTAATGGACAAAGAGGAATTAGAAACGAAGGAGGTTCACATTCATTATAGAGTAGAAATACTAAAGAGACCAGATCTTATCTTCTCTCTCTTCAAAGCATGCGTCCCGAGTAACGCTTCAGAACCTGGTCCGCCCAACTTTTTTAAATTATTAAAAAACGTTTACACAAGCTTGACCTTTGAGACAGTCTCATAAAAGCATTTGCCTTGTGTGACGGCGAGCTCGAGCTCAAGAGCACTGGGCTGACGGGAACCATCGGCACCCTAAGCAATTGATGAATGTTAGACGCCATGCAATGATGCAAGATGGGACTCCAACGAGTCCAAAAAGGGTAACTTACGGCGAAAGTTCCAGCGCCCCATGGACTACCTCCGCGAACTTCTGAAAGGTTGGCTAGCATTGGGAATGTGTTCTTATAACCCAATGGGACGAAAATCATTCCATGGTGGACGAATGTGCTCATGCAGGCAATGACGGTGGATTCCTGGCCACCTCCAGGGGTACCGGTGGAGACAAATGCTCCCACGTACTTCCCATGGAACCCTCCCTTGGCCCAGATGCCACCCGTCTTATCCCAGAATGCCTTCCACTGAGCAGGGAAGTTGCCATAACGAGTGGGAACACCGAACAGAATAGCGTCATACGAGGTCAATTCCTGGGGCTCGATGACTGGGTACGCCGACTTGGCCGGCGCATGCATCTTGGCAAGGACTTCTTCGGGAAGAGTCTCAGCAATCCTGAATTCATTGGTGTCAACCCGTGAATATATCGACAGAAAATAAGACATTCAACCCGGAGGAGGGATTAACTTACTGGAAAATGTCGGCAGTACCGCCGGCTGCCTCAATCCCCTTCTTCTCAGCTTCGGCCAATGTCTTGATGTGGCCGTACATCGAGTACTATAGAAGATAGCTGTCGTTAGAAGCCATCGCTCAAGCACTGCGGGGAGCCTATGAAGATCTTACAAAAACGATAGCAATCTTTGGAGCCGCCATGATGAAGGGGAGGCTGGACTAAGATGATCTCAGATTATGAAGTGGAAGACAGAGTGATGATTTGATTCCTCTTGAATTGCGAAGAAGCTTGTTACGTCTTTTTAAAGCTATGGCGAGGGGGGTTGGAGGGGTTCTTATACCTTATGCCACATACAATAAACATGTTCCGTGTTGGAAAGAAAGGTCCCTTACTATGTATCACCTACGGGACGAAGGGCCACGACGGAGCCTGCGAGACTGCAATGACGTAAAAGTGGCCAGAACAGCTTACGAAAACCTTACAAATGGTTAAATAAGAAGTAAAAAGCCTCCTCCTCCAAGCTTGGGTTTACTTACTCGCATCTTATTAACGATTAACAATCATGAGGAGAGTCGAGGAACCTTGGGAAGTTACTCCGTCCCCTCTCGTGCCCCTCTCGGACTTATGCACGTATATCCCTTGTCTTCTTACTCGATAACTACTTTGTATTTCGATCTTATCTTGCATTCAAAAAGAAGAAAAAAGAAAGAAAAAGAAAGATTTCTACATATGACCAAGACTTTAGTAATCAACATATCAGGTCATGTGACACGGACTGCGGGCGCAGCCTGAAACATCCCTTCAATGCCTCGCCCAAGGAAAAGAAAAGGGGGGCTTTGGATGGACAGAATTTTCTTAGAAAAGAAGTGATTCTGCAGTTATTCATAATTGAATATATTCATAGCTAAACTGCTGTTGAGTTTGAACGTACAATGGCGACACCTCGGCCCTGGACGACCCAGTTCTCCAGGTATATCAACTCTTCTCCTGGCATAGAGAACACCTTACGCCTCCTCCAGTTCTCTTGTGTCGTGGTAGGGTCTCTTTCGGGGGTCTCTTCCTCCCCTTGGTCCAGAGCTGGGAGTCAGTTTGCGTTGGGTATGTACTTAGAGTATAAGAAAAAGAGCATGGATGCTGGCCGTCAGCATTCCCTTGTTTTTAACCGGGTTCTATAGGTCGTCGCTATTTTCGATACTTCAAGTTTATCGACTATTTTGAAAATGCGTGGACTGCGTATACCTTGAATGAGAACACTGCTTCTCACAAGGGAGGATCCATTGCATCAACTCTTGAATTCTGCAAATGGGGTCTGCTGGGGGTCTACCTTTTGCTTGAAGGCGTTACAATCGTAGGTTCTTGCTCTTAATTTGGACGGACTTGGATATGTAGCACTTTGATCAGACTGTTTAAAACGGGAAAACGTACGATATTCGTACCTGATTATGAAATGGTAACTGACGATCTCCTTCCCTGTACACATAGTTTGACGCACTAGGGGTCCAAAAAACGGCCTGGGGTGACAGAGCCTTGCTTGAGAGCAATAGGTTCTGGCTATATGCCCTTGTCTTCTCGCTCTTGAGCACGCTCTGGCAGATGTTCCAGTTATACCGGGACGCAAAGACTCCAGCAGCCCAGAAAATCAAACAGAAACCCAATGTGAAGAGCAGTCAGAAGCCATCAACCGAAGGAAAGCAAACCACCAGCAGCGCAGACTTCACCGTCACCAATCAGGCCTTGGTGAAGGACATTATCATCACTAGCTGCGATATCCTGATTCCTGGATATCTTGTTGGCTGGATCCCGATATCTGCGCTGATGATGGGCAGTGCTGCAGTTGTGAGCACTCTTCTTGTTGGTCGAGACCGGTGGACCCAGGTTCAAGCGAGCTTCAAGCAGTGAACTGGACCTGTTGTCAATAGAAAGTATACATATTGGGCGCTAAAGCAGCGTTCATGTCGTAAATTCATAGAGTATATAATAGATATTTAGAGACTGGAAGCGTGGCTTATATATACTAACTAGTTATAGAAAATCCCTCGTATTCTTGTTTTAGCGGATAACTAGACGGCTGTCTTGCCCGAAGAGCTTAAACTCCGCCACTCGGTAAGAGATGCTGGCGTGTATTCTGTCGAACCAACATCGTGGGAGTTTGACGCTTAGATTAAAGCCCAGCTAAGACCCTATAGTCCTCGTATCTGAGCCTCTATCACAGCCTCCTGGATACGATGAATTTCCCTATTCGGTCTTCGGGCCTGTCTCAAGGCACACCGACTTAAGGTATATATATAACAAGATGCGTCGTGCGATCTCTTTCTTATATTTCATCTCAATTCATCACAAAGATAAATGACCCAAGCTAGCACTGCAACTATTTACGAACACACATCACACTCCATCAATATGGCCACTAATGCTATGGACTCGAAGGGTCCAGCAGACTTCCAAGCTGAAGTCAACCAACTATCCGAGAAGGAAATGGAAATTCTTAAATCTTCTGCCGCATCAGACACGGATATTGAGAACGAAGCACCACCTGCATATTCAGAGTCTACCTCAACTACTCTCCCTCGTGATGGACTACATGCCTTTGTGCCTGGCAGATCACTCTATATCAACTCTCGCGGAATCGGTATGATCCGTTTCCCAACCCCATCATCAGAGTTAGAGATCGGAATTCATAACCCTGACGGAACGCTGGCCTATGTGTCTACCAGAGAAAAACGTTGCTCGGGGGATGCAACCTTATCATCACCGAAGCTAGGCAACTTATTGAGCACTTCCTACTTCTTCGGACCCGGCCGCAACCCTATTATCCACCAGCTTTATCCAACCCCATTCAATGCTGGTGGTGATGATAGCAGCAAAGGCATTAGCGTGGCTGGGAAGTTTATTTCACGAAACGCATGTTTCGAAATGCCTGATGGCTCCATGTTTGAATGGAGGTATACCCGACTAGGTTATGATGGAGGTGGTAGGAGCAAGCTGCTTGTTCTTGAGAAAGTTGAGGGTGAGGGTGATGGGTCACGCAAGAGAGTTGCGCAACTTCTTCGGACCAAGGAAACGATCCCAGAAGGGAGTTCGAAGCATAAAGCTGGATGTGGTGGAGAGCTGATTCTGGATCAAAACGCTCATGTTGAGATTGACGAGGCGGTTATTGTTGGTACTTGCCTTTTAATGTTGAAGAGGGAGATTGATCGACGGAGAGCTATCCAAATAATGGTTATGGCTGGCATTGCTGCTAACTAGTACTGACAATGTGAGCTTTTACTGTTATGGCTGTTCTAGCGTTTCCGTTTCTTATACATACCTATATTGCAACTTATGTTTTAGAATGCTTTTAGACTTTGCTGTATACTGCTACTTTGGATTAATTGAACGATTTAATTATTTACATCACAGCATGTTCATTATTTCGTATGCTGAATGATAGTAACTTGCCGGGCTTAACTCAGGCTTGGGATAGACTTCCTCTCCACCACGGCAAAGATAAGAAACATTATCTAATCAGGCGCAAAATATGTTGGCGGAAGCACCTAGCTTGCCATGGAAGCCATTCGCTTCTTATGAGCTGCCTTCTTTTCCTTAACAGCATCAATAAACAGTCGCCTAGACACGCTCTCGGGCATGATTTGAACCATGGTCATGGCAATCCAGTGAGGGAAATAACCAGAAACAATTGCATCCCTATCAGCTCCAATCCTCTTCAATGCGGAACGCGCATACACCTGAGAGTTAGGGATCAAAAATCCTTCCTTAACAATATGTGAACCACTCCTAGCTTCACCAAGTATTAAAACTTGGACATTAATGTCTTTTCCTTCCATTTGCATCTCCATGCTTAACGAGTTGGAGAATGCAGCAACAAATCCTTTTGTTCCAGTGTATACACTGACGTATGGAGACCCATGAGCAGCTACGGAGCCCATATTTAGAATCAGCGAGGGTTGCCGCTTCGTCTTCTTGGAAGTGGTAGAGGGGGGGTGGTCTAGCAGCGGAATGATGAAACGGGTAAGTTGCACCATGAAGCGGATGTTGACATTGAGTACGGTATCGATTTGTTCTCCCGTGTATGCCTCGTAGGCTTGGAACAGACAATCAGGCGGCAGGCAGCCCATTCCGCCGACGTTGTTGATCAGAATGGTAAGGTGAATATCCTGTAACACTTTGCGCAAGCCAGATAAGGTGGAAGACTCCAACAGGTCCTTCGATGCATCGCAGACAAAATGGCGAGTCTTGATGGCTGGGTATTGATCTTGTAGGTCCTCAGTAATAGCCTGTAATTTTTCGCAGTTTCGACCGTGAAGAACAAGGTTAAAGCCATTCTTTGCTAGCTCGTAGGCCATAGAACGGCCAACTCCGTCGGTGGCCCCTGTGATAAAGGCGTACGACTCTTTCCCATCGTGTAAATATTTGGGTAGCCGGGAGCGATGAAGGAATTTGTATGCAACTGAGAGGAGATTGACGAGGATACAGACGACTGTCGCGACCCCTATGCATGCAAAAACTCTTTCCCATATCATGACGTTCTATTCTGTAGGCCTAAGGGAGATATCTTTTTAATCGGGTGCCCTTTTTTACGTATTGCGTAGTCTGGTTGTGGACGAAGAGGTTGAGGGAAGCTTTTGATCAGGTTGTTAAACTAAGCTGTGGTGGCTTGAGTGAACTAACTAATTTGAACTTAACCCCTCAAATATTCCAGAACTAATGCCATATAACTAGAGCACGCATCTCGTCGTACCTTGTTTCTCAGACATTATATTATGTTTAGTTCGTAGAACCATGTATGAGGCTCTGACGGTGAGCTCCACTTCTACCATGAGCCGCATAACTATTAGTTTGAGCGGAACATTAAGAGCTGTTGTCCGACCCTGGCCTGAAAGCTAGTTAACTGGTTACCTAGTTAGTTATTAAACCTGCCAACGAACAATTGCTTGTATGAATAAATAAGAGCAATACATATATTTTGCTGTGACTAGGATGATTAAGACCACTGTACTACAGTTGGCAGTAGTTGTATGAATATTTCCTTCATCATATTGTCGAGTTCAATGGCCATTCTCCTCCTAACTCTTGTTATTATGCGGAGACTATAAACTACAATCTGTTGCAAGGGCCTCCAATCCTAGCCTGTATTACTAGAGTGTTCCGTAGCTGTTAATGTCAAAATATCAAGAATATCAACTACTTTTTGATCGGACTATAGATGGGAACCCAGGCTTGGAAGTTACCTAGATAACTATATCTCGCCGCGTGAGGTAACTAAATTGAGGCTTCATTTCAGCATTTCTGAATTGTGAAGTTGGTTAGAAACTGCGTTCAGTATTCGATTTGAACAGCTAAATCATATATGCTGCCAGATAAATCTGTTATTCGAGGTCCCAAGCAGTGTTAATGACTTTATTTATCTCACAGATGACCTCGCTCGTTAACCGTCTTCAAGGCAAGCCAATTGGGCAATATTGCTGGGAGTCCTCAAAAGTAACCAGCTTGACTAAAGGCCTTCTTTACAAGAGAAATGCCAAATATAGACAACAATATTAACAAGTATTCACTATACTTGATACTGGCGGTAGGGTAATATTAGTCCAGGCCTCGTGCAAGATCATCTTCATACATGATAAGTCTGACACATGGGGATAGTGGACCCGAGGAGTAATAAATTAGTGAGAAATTCATGGTATTAGAGTATGCAGGTTTATTGCCCTTGAGTTTACTACTTGCAAACTCTCCGCAAATCCCCCAACATCGGCCATTGTTAACGCAATCGCGCAGTGTATCAATGGCCGTTCTGAAATTCTTGTTTCTAGCTCTTGTTTGCCCTTTGGCTAGGAGTTATTCTCTATCCAACCAGGTAGCTTGAGGTTCAGGTCACCTAATCCAAAACAAATTTTTGTCACCTTTACATTCCCTCCTTTAGGAGTTAACAAACTTGCGCTGCAAAAGCCTCGCGAGTGGCATTTATTGCATAGTTTTTAGCTATCTTCAACATAGAGCGCCCGTTCTCCACTAGCCCCTCGTAGTCGTGCTTCGTTTGGTTGATCCAACCTAAGAAGTATGTGCAGATCCCAGGTAGCTTATCCGCATCCAGTTTTGTCCGGATGGGGCCCAATACTCTCGAAGCCTAACATAAGGCTTCTAAAAGTGAACTTCAGTGTGGTATATAGCTTGACCCTGTCGCGATATAAGTTTGCTCAGCGCTGGTTGCTAATTTTCTAGTGCGAGCAGCCGTAGTCCAGTAATGCCTCTTAGGGCTAGACATGGTTCATCATCCGTGGAGTTTAGAATATTGTCAAATACAGAGTATTGACCATCATCTTATCGTTCGCTATGTCTCTTTTTGCACAGATAGCTAAATGTTAGTAGTATTATTATGTAATAATATCTAGTTTTGCTCTTGACGCCTAGCCGCGGGAGAGAGTCACGTGATAACTTTATGATATGCGTAACATGGCATGACCAATAAACATGTGCATAAAAGTGGAGATAGCCTATTTAGACGCGATCATTGCAAAACTTGGAGAACGCGTTTGTCAACAAACATCCCATCTTCATTTCCATTGTGGGCTCTCTTGATTGAAGGCTAAAGAATTTCATTTTGAGAACCGGGAGCACAAATGGCCCGAAGACTCCAGACAACTCGGCGCAATGAGCCTACTGTTTCCACTGTTGGAAGCTCCGGTTGGCGGTCCTTGGATAATGAGTTAACTGGGTATGACGCGGGTGAAGGCACTGCATCTATAGGTCAGAAACTAGCAGATGGGTTTGAAAGGGATTATGCCATTGATATTTCATCATTGCTTACGCCAAATCCGCCAAAATCCTTTCGCCAGTCTTCTATTTCTATCTCAGCCGACCAGGCGAAGAATAAGAGATCGGGCTCAAGAACAGAAGGTTTACCAGCCTCAGCCCAAGGTATCAAGCTTAAGGGGATACCCCAAAACAGCAGAGAAAAACCGAAATTCTTTAAGGATAACGCTCCACGCTGTCTGAAGAGCAAGGGGAACCAAGAGATCAACCTGCACTCACTGCATCCGTTACAACCCATCCCAGAGTTGGATGTCACTGCTGAATTACGGAAACTCTGGGATGAGCCAAGGACAAGACCAACTGCTCCTCCTGTCTTATGGGATGACTCGAGGTATTTTCACATTGGAGAATCTTCTAACCGAGCTAGAGTTGGTAGTGCGGCGGATGCACCAACAGCCATTTCGAATTCCTCAGTGGGACTTTGTGGATCTGGTAGATTCAGAACAAATTCAAAGCATAGAGGCAGATTGAGTGATAACTCTAAGGGATTAAAACTTCATCCTAGCCCTCCACCATCGCCTGCTCCCTCCGACGTGCTCTACGATGATGGAATGAGCTCTATCATAAATACTACTACGGCTGTTTTTCCTGACATAACTCATGGTTCGCAAAGGGTGTCCACGCTTAACCCAAGCTTACCACTATCCCCTGCTCCCTCGGATGATCTCCGTAGTGATGGAGTGAGTTGCCCGGATTCCCCAGCTTTGTTTTGCAGTGCGTCCCATAAGTTTAGCCTTCGGACTCGGGGTCGCCCTTTAAACGACTCGAGAACTACCCCTCAACTTCCAGTCCAGCTTCTCGAGACTGCTACCACAACTTTGGCCTCTATGGACAATGAATGGACTAGCCAAAAGCAGAGGTTTATGCCACGGCAAAGGCCTCCATTACGTGATCTTTCAAGTAATGGATTGAGAACGAGGAACGCTCTCCATAAGCATGCTCAGATCTGCTCTACTAGCAATTCAAGTTCACATAAAGAAAATTTCCACCCGCACAAAATGCCTCAACTACATTTCGAACACGGCCCACAAAGTGGAAGGAATAACATCCCTAGGAACCGTTCGGACATCTATATCAGTTTTTCTGACGCTCCTGTTGGAAAAAACAGGGCTTCTATGAACCTCGGCTCTGATAACGACACGGGCCGACTGAAAAAACAAACAACCCGATTCTCACAAAACAAAGTGGCCAGCAGCAAAGAATTTTTACCATCTGCTGATGCTTCTCCGAAGATAGACATAGAACTTCAAGTTACCTCTAGTACCGTACAGCACAGCCCTGACGCTGGATTTGTGTCATCTGCTGCTTCTGGTTCTGATGCTGGAGTTGATAGTGTCGATAATAAACCTCGCCGACCCTTGTCAAGGAGTTCCCGGTTCTCTAGGCCTCCCGCCTGCTCTGCTTCAGTCTCAAGCTTTCAAGATGTTGATGCTGACCCCTCATTAACAGCTTTGGTAGAAATTTCATCTACTAAGTCAGTGCAAGAATCAAACTTGGTTAAGGGGCCTCCGGCGGACAAACGTCCAAACCAGGAACTTTCTGGATCGCTTACGCTCGTGCTCGACCTACAAACCTGCTTGCAGCGTCTAGAGAAAGAGAATGAAGCTCTGAGCAGGGATATCAGGCGGCTAGGCCGTGAGAACCTAGCTCTCTCTGACAGAGTGCAGGCTTTAGAGGCGGCCAATTCTACCACTGGAGCAAGGATTGGGGAGTTGAGCGACGAGAATCTCAGCATGAGCACCATTCTGAGAACTCTTCACAAGGCAACTAACGCTACAGACGAGAAAGCCCAGACGCTAATTGGGGGGATTTCAGGGTTGTGCGACAAGGAAATCACCCGCGAGCAAACATGCCTTACAGTTGACGACAGCTTAAAGAAATTAGCAGGGAACCCCCTTAAGGATGATCGAACTGAAATGTTGGATTCCGGAACTGTGGCGAGCCATCGGCGGGATACAGAGAAAGTAGTTGATCCCGTTGCTACTACATCAGGGGAATCGCCCTTAGATGATACTCTGTTGACACTAATTGATGTATGCCCATTATCCTTCCTCTATTCTCCCATAAACAAAACTTAGCTAACAGTCAATCCTCTTAACAGGAAAGCGCGATTGAAGACCTTAGGCGGAAATTGGAAATAGCCCAGAGAGGTAGCAGGTGTGTTAAAACCTGCCACATACCCAGCCTTTGTCGCAGCATCTCCATACCACCTCTGTCTCAGGCTCTTGCGGAGATTGGTTTAGGAGTAGAAGTATCAGAGTCGGACTCCCCATGGGTAGAGGACGATCCCTCAACATTGCCCCCAGTTAAAAGATGGGTACAGCGCGGACAATAGAAGAAAGTGGCCTTGCGTACAGATTTCTTGTGTCTCGTTTTGTAGTATGTAATGAGCTATGCCTAGGGTGCTTTTTGTTATTTCTTTTTGGGATACATAAGGGATTTTGGGCTAGGAATATTTCCTAATATATGAAGACACTCTTTATAATTACAGTTAAAGGACTGCCGCTTACAATCACCGGTAAGCCACATGTTGGCTATCAGGGGCATAATACGAACATGCCATCCTTCAGAGCAACCAGGAGGACCTTGAAGGGTATTGGTAGCGTTTACCACCGCTAGATACCTTGAGGAGGGAGGTTACCCAATTCTCGAGTTCCATAATATAGACTTATCCAACTACCTCAAGGTGGTTGAGTGGCTATTTCACGGTTGGGTTGGGAAATGATAGTTCCTAGATTATGGCATATCATTAAATTAGATTATATTTTATTTCTACCAACGCCCTTGAAATTAGGTAATGATGATATGACAATCTAGAACACATCATCACTATTTCGTAATATAATCTCCGCCCCCTGTGCTCTTCGTTTGGCAGGTAAGGATGATGGTGGAGAGAGCTTTGAGGATGTCTTCTGAGCCGGTGGTGTAGTTCTAGATGCGGATGGTGCTGGAGCTGACTTCTCTCTTGCAGAGACTTCCTCGCTAACGAAACACCCGAGACCTGCAAAGGCTTCCAGTAGGGTCCTCTCATAATACTCCCGCAGATCATATCCACCAGCAAGAACCCTCATATCCTCGCGTAATGGGTCAAGGTATGTAGACGGATAATGATCTCGGAGTTCATAATAGTCACGGCTATTAAGTGAGACAGCACCAGCAAATGGATCATATGGTTTCTCCAGCTCAGGGGTTTTAATCTTTCTCAGGCCCTTGATCAGTCCTCCACTGGAAGCGGCAGTATTGCCGATTACAGATCCAGTGGCTCCAGTAGTCAGTGGGCCCTTGGTTGCGGTTTCTGCAGCACGTAAAGCAGCTTGTTTTCGTTTCATTCGATCTTCCTCGCTGCGCCTGGCCGAGGATTTCTTAAGCTGATGAGCCCTTTCAGACTCACGGGCTACTGCTTTAGCATCCTCTGCATCCCCAGAGACTAGACGGGCAATTATATCTTCGCGACTAGCAAGTTTGGCTTTTCTTTCATTCTCGTAGTCTTGCCTAGCAGCCTCACGCCGTCGACGGAGCTCCTCCTGTTCCACAGATTGGTGTAGTTCAAAGGATGCATATTCCTGCCTGGCCAGGTCCTTGTTATGACGTATAGAAGCGGAATTTTCGGCAGAGTATTGGGCTAATTGGGCTTCTGTTTTGGCCACGTCAGTTTCGTGTACGAGGTTGGCTATTATCTCCTCTCGTTGTTCTAAGAAGTCATCCCATGCGCGTTTATTATCAAATTCTTCTTCACGCCGATTTAGGCTGTATAAAGCGTCAGCGTTCATCAAGGTTGTTCTTTGAAAGCATCACGATAAGGGCGTGGAGAAACATACATTCCCATAACCCGCTTTCTGATGTCAACCTCCCTCTCCACCGCAAGGTCCCCAAATGTCTGCTTTCGGAATTTATTTTTTCGGAGAGTTTTGCGGCAGCCTGCGACTGGACAAGGTGCAGGGCCGGAGGAGAAGATGCGATCTACGCAGGATTCGCACATTTTATGGTAGCATTCCGGGTTTATGAGAAAACGCATGTCCGGATTGAGGTACCTGGACGACTTGCAGACAGGACAAACTTCTGCGAAAAATAAAATTCCAAGCGTCAGCAGATTGAGCAGTAGCAAGAAATTTACGCCGTATCTGTATACTTACCGTCATCGTCGCCCTTTTGGAGAGAGCCATTTGCTCGGGAAGACATCTCATTAACGATGGAGAGTAAGTACCGGTACTGGGCTCTCAGGAGGTGGGCGAGAGTGGCAGCAAGTTCGGACTACATTGAGACGCTCTTTTATGGTATCCAAGTGGAAAATAACCAACTGGTCGCTCTCTCAAGGGCAATTTCATTTCCAGCTTCTGTCTTTCTTCCTCGACAGTGCAAATAAAATTTTATCACGTGATAGAGCTCTTGGAGCCTCTACTGGCCCAAGCTTCCGCCTACCCTATTTTTATTTTTTATCTTTTCGCTTTCTCATCCACCAACTTCATCCCTCCATCATCTTCCGTGTCAAGGTGTTGTGATGGCTCGGATGATACAACCATCCCGCTCCTTCAACCTACCATGCGCTTCGTATAACATCTCTAATATATCAAATCTACTGGCCTCAGACGCTTCCGTCCACATGCCAAGCTAAAGTCATGGAGCCGGGTTTCCCCCAAGGTTGCCTTGGCTAGTCGCAAATGGCGAAAGAGAAAAGGAGAGCTTTCAATGATATACCAAAGGACGTTTTCTTCACTCTTCTCTCTTCCTCATGGGCATTACCTCAGGAAGGGCATGGCGCTTGCCCCTAAGGCAATGCTCTTAGCACCCTGAGATAGGCCTTGAGATGCACATGTTGACATTTGGTACCGCCGCTACACTACTACATAGTGTATAGAGTATTATAACATTGGCTACCTGCATATAAGTAGCTTCTTGTGGAGTGCTTCTCTTTTTTCTCACTATCCTTTTTTTCTTTTCCTGGAGCTTGCCGTAACGTAACCTTGGTGGTTAACAGGATCTTTGTGCTGCGTAATTTTCAAGAGTGCTTCACAGCAAGTCCCATATAAGAGAACTCTCTACGCCTTTCATTTTCATCCGACTAGGCACATTCAATTATATACCCTTTCATATTTAGGAGGGTTTCCATACTTCCGAAAAGATGGCTCGCTCTGCTTTGCTCTGTCTTTGTCTTGCGCAATACTTCGTTCTTATCTTTGGACAAAGCTACTCAGGCTGCCATAGACATGGAAGCGTCGAGTAAGTGGCTTATAACTAGCTATACTGCAGCACTGTAACTTGCCTTCTAACTGGGAATCCCTTGATAGGTACTGCTATGGTACTAATGGAGAAGAAACGCCAGTCGCAACCCATGCATCGATAACTTCTGGACCCATGACTACCCACACAAGCACTACCGCTACTGCTCAGACTACTGCCATAACAGGATGTCATACTCATGGCACTCAAACGTACGTGATAACACCCGCTGAGTTCACGACAGGATTTCGCTGACTATCACAGGTTTTGTATTGCTGGAACGGGTGATGAGGTGCTTGTGACTGGCACAGCAACAGCCACTGGCCCTCCACCGTCGCAATTTACGGGCTGCCATAGCCACGGTCCTGATACGTGAGTACCTATGGATGAAATTAAACTGTTCCTTTTGTTTCCTTACCACTATATATCAAGTATGATCAGTGCTGATAGCCTATATAGATTCTGTTTAGGCCCAAATGGAGAAGAAGTCGGGGTGGTCTCCGAAGGTTCCTCACCGGGTGAAGAACATGGCCACGAAGAGCATAGGGAGAATGGACATGAAGGCCTGAATTGCCATTTCCATGCGGGTGTAGAGTATGTTTCATTGCCCTATCTACGAGGAAGAAGTTTCTCACTTATCATCACTAGGCATTGTGTCCCAGAAAATGGATCTGAGGCTCCGCCAGTTTCTTGCGAGCGAGTTGATCGAGAATACAACATACCTTACCGCATTGGGTCTCTATTTGCAATTTTATTTACGAGTGCGGTTGCAGTATTCGGTCCCATCCTAATGACTCGTTTCTTTGCATCGAAGATGAATATCTTTGCATTCACAATAATTAAGCAGCTCGGCACTGGTATTATGATTGCAACCGCCTTCATACATGTCAGTATATGTATTATTCATCCTAGAAATGTTATTGAGCCATAACTGACAGAACCTAGCTTCTGACGCATGCCGAGCTCATGTTTGGGAATGAATGCCTTGGCGTTCTACAATATGAAGCTACTGCGGCGTCTATCTTCATGGCTGGTTTATTTATAACTTTCTTGATCGAATATTTTGGAAATAGAATAGCTTCATCACGGGGGAAAAAACACCCAGATGTGGATGATGTGGAGCCCTCAGCCGCATCTAGCCAGCATGGCGCAGAATTGGGGTCAAAACCAGTTCTGGATTCGGCGATTGCCAACCTTGGCCACAAGCATGGCTGTTCAGACGTCCCAGATGACAAGCTGAGCGTTTTTCTTATGGAAGCAGGCATTGTCTTCCACTCAGTTAGTAAGTTGATTTCTTCTTGCCATAAATGTATAACGTAATAAACTAACATAGCCCTCAGTCCTTGGTGTTACCTTGGTAGTCTCAGGCGATTCAGGCTACACACCTCTATTCATTGTGATAATTTTTCACCAGATGTTTGAAGGCCTGGCTCTTGGCTCTCGAATTGCCGAGTTGCCAAAGACCAAAATTTCTGCCAAATTCATCATGGCCTCTATCTTTTCCATCATCACACCCCTTGGCATGGCTATCGGGCTTGGTGTCCTTCATTCATTTAACGGTAATGATAAAAGTACTATCATTGCGATAGGTACTCTCGATGCATTCTCTGCCGGAATCCTTGCATGGGCAGCCATTGTTGATATGTGGTCCCACGACTGGATTCATGGTGACCTCAAGGATGCTGGTGTTGCTCGAATGATGACTGGCCTATTAGCACTAGTTACTGGAATGGTTCTGATGGGAGTATTGGGTAAATGGGCATGATTTATATTTACAAAAGATGATGACTCCAGCAGTATGTTGTTCTGAGTGAATATTTACTATGTGTATTGGTACATAAATCAAATCGAATCTTTAAATGCAAGAATTCCGCATTATTTAATGGGTCACCTGATATTTCGCTACCTTTTATGATAAAACATTGCTTAGTCATAAAAATACCTGGTTACATAAGTATAAAAGTTTCTAGTTTCCGAGGTCATGATCACGTGCCAAAAGTTTATTGTTTGCCTGTTAGAAAAGATTCAATTTTTTCTTCATTTTTCTGAAGCCAGCAAATCTCATCGCAGTTAGCCCATATATTCAGTTTCCAATATGGCAGACTCAAGTCAATCTCTAAGAGGTCTCGAACAAAAACGACTTGAACTAGAAAAGCAAATCTCGGATCTACGAACCTCAATCTACCACTGGAGGCTTTGGAATGCGGAGTACGATGGTTTGAAAGAGGAGCTTTCATCTTTACCTGAAAACAGCACACGTGAAGATATACTTGAACTAGGAAGAAAGTTTGAAGGGTCTCAAATAACTGAGAAAGAGGTGCGAGCGTTATTGGGAGAAGTATCCCCTGGACCTACGATATCAAGGTCACCTCAACAGATCATCCGTGCGATTGATCGAAGGATTGACTATGTGCTGGAGAATATAAAGGTCCTGGAAAAGCGTACTGCTGCTTTGGAAGACGAACTGAGCACGTTTGTTGTGGAACAACCAGATACTGGGTTAAATGAAGAAGGCCTGCCGATTACTGAGATAGTTGAAGAGCTAGACGAAGATGGCAATGTCATTTCGAGCTCTACAACAATGCCTGGAAAGGAGACCAACGAACTTCTCAATTCTTTGAAGAAAGCAGGGTTGGATATACCAGGTGGAAAAGCAAAAAATGAGCAGAAAACTGAGTTTAAAGCAGCAGACGTTTCCCCCCAATTGGCCTCTGCAAACATCGCAACTGAAAAGGCATCTGTGCCGGACACTGCCACAAGCAAGCCTATCCAAGACCCTCAATATGAGTTTGAAACACAAGATCGAACAAAGACCATCAGCCAAAAAGTTGACATTCCTGCTAAAGAGGACCAGACTATATTACCTTCCAATATTCTAGCAGCTCCCAAGGTAATGACATCCACGGAATCAGTGATACCAACAGTAAATGATGTGGAGAAAGGCTCATCGGTAGTGGCTAAAGTTGAAGGGGACTCCCCGGAAGATGCTGCGTTGCGCAGAGAGATGCTTCAATATGGGCTTGAAGAGGTTGGCGCAATTGTTGCGGAACTTGAACTTGATGAAGATGGCAGTGAGTTTTCGATTGATGATGAAGATTATGATCTAGATGAAGAATACAGCGAGGATGAGGATGAGTATGGCCGATCAACGAAGAGAGTCTTGGATGATGATTATATCAAGCAAATGCGTGAGCTCGAGAAGAAATTGAATGCGAAAAGCTTGCAAAATATTGGCCCTGACACTAGCTTACTGCCATCAGATGTTCGTTCTCAAGTTGAACAAGGCCTGTCTGCAATGAAGAAAGGCCCGGCGAAGAAAAAGACGGTGGCATTCGCGGCTGAACTTGATATTGCTCCTGAACCAAGCCTTCAACCTAGCCCTCCAATTGCGAAGGCCAAAGCCAAAGGGCTCCCCCCGCCTATCCAGGAGGCAGTAATTGAAAGGTCAGACGCCAAGCATAGCGCAAAGATTCAGGATCAAGGGTCAGCACGAAAACCGTCCCGCTTCAAACGCACCCGAAAAGCAGAAGGTTCCACCGCTCAAGATGTGACTGCACAATCTGCCCCAATACCTCCAAAAAGTGGCTCCTCACTCAATTCAAGAGCTCCAGTCATTCCGCCGCCACTGTTCCCCGCTACTCCTTCAATCCCAAAGCCGTTCTCACAGCCCATACCTAATCTGGACAAGCTTTCCTTAACAGATAGCAACAAAGATGGTGCAAAGAGCTCAAAACAGAATAATAAGCCGCTAGCCGATGTACTAGTTGAGAGAACTGTACATAGGGATTCCGTTATTCCTCCTGACCCAGACGAACTGGACGAATCTATTCACAGACGAGAAGTCGCATCTGAGTTTTATAAGCTACGGAATCATAAAATTCAGCAGAGCGGAGGGTTCTTACAGGAGGATGCGACTGAGCCTCTTGTTCCTTTGGATACTGACGAAAACTCACAGAGTGGACAAGAAAAGCCAAAGAAAGTGAGTCGCTTTAAGGCCGCTAGAGCCAAGTAACCCGGTTACAATATACAAAGATCATTGTGTTTGCCATATTGTATCGATATACTACCATGATATTCACCATCTTTATTTCCTTTTGATTGTAACAGTGCTGTTGGGTATGTAGGGAATTTTCAAGGGATTGCAAAGCATCAGCCTGTAAAGGATTTAGATGCCCTTCCCACACAGGCAGATGGCGATAAATTGTTTTATCAGCCACCATCTGACTACCACGAATGAATTCCTAGATTAAAACAGGGGGATCTCTGGCTTCTTTCTCGTCCCTGTAGGATGGCTCCTACGGAACCATTACGGGATTCAAATGGGATTGTCGTTGCGTTACTCTCTCTACATTTCAATTTCGAATTACTCAAAATGATTAAAAGCCATTATAGAACAATACCAACTAAATTACAGAGAAGCATATATAATTACTTTTCTAAAGGAACATCTGTGTGAAGCGTATCAACCCTTGGCCTCAACATCATTGAATATGGAACAGAAGTGCACTGTCATGGTTATCATAGATTGAATCCTCATATCTCTCTAACCCAGAAAATCATAGTTCATTTATCATTATTCGTTTCATCATTTGCATAACTTATCTCAACCGACGTAGATGCTATGATCATGGAGGTCTTGTGCACAAAGAGATCCGGCCTTGGAAGCGAAGGCTAGAACAAGAACATGGAGCAAGAAGGTAGCTAGATGAAACCATCTTTTGGGAACACTCAAATCTAAGACAGCGAGAAAGAGAAGCGGGTATATTATCCACGGTTTGACTGTGAGCGGAGCGCATGGCTGGGTGAGAGAAATAACTTTTATAGTAAGTAGGACGAAGTTGATTAGGACTGGTATGAAAGGCCTGCTTCTTAAAATATGACTGAATATTTGAAACCTGCTTGGAGGAGGTAAAAGGAGACGATTCGTAACGGTGTATATGCGCCGATTACGGTCTTCAGGGTAGTCACGCACGATGCGAGGGGATGTGGCGGTGGACCGGACGAGCAGGTTAGTAGTCTCTGTGCTAATATGGTCACCATCCGGGGCTTCGGATGGAGGATCTGGGTCGCTGGACGTTGGCTGATGAGAGTTGCTTGCCCCTAATGCTTTAGAACGAATAATTGTAGGAGGGAGGTCTAGTGTTGGGGGTGCTCTTTTCACTGGGCTGTGTGGCCGTCGAGACGGCGATCCCGTAGCCGGGCTGTCTACAGGGAGTACACGCGTGGTGGCTTGAAGGTCAGTGGTAGACGGCGTTGTTCTGTGGAAACGGCGCCCTTCACTGGAGCCACCTGTCTGTATTCCATTCAATACCTCTTCTGCGGTTGGTCTCATATCAGGGTTCACATCCAAAAGACGTGTCAAGAAGGAGTAGAGGATATCAGGAAGGTCAGGCCGCATCCGCCTTGCGGCATCGAACCCTGCCCATCGACTAATTTCAGCACGAAGAAGATCAAGATCTTCTTTGTCTTCGTCCACAACATCTGCATTTCGATATGGAAGCTGGCCAAAGCAAAGGAAATAGAGTATCATCCCAAGTGAGAAGACGTCTGATTTGAAGCTAAAATTACAAAATGGCCCACCGGGTGATACTCTTCGTAGTACTTCAGGCGCACAGAAGGAGATGGTACCTGTGGTTCCGGTAGAGTTTCGGACAGTGTTCTCAAACTGGACTTCACCGAAATCACTGACCAAGACACGTAGTTCACGGCCGGTTTCATGTAGTAAGCAGTTACTGGGCTTTAGGTCACGGTGTATATAGCCACTGGCATGCAGAAAACGGAGCCCTGAGGTGATGTCTTTGAAGAACGAATAGATTTCTTCGAGTTGTAGCCGTCTAGGTCCACTGGCAGCAGCCGGGAGGTCTGGTTGGCCTCGAGACCTCCGCCGTAGCCGAGCCTTTAGTTGTTGTGGTGTATCTGCTGCGGTCTGAATCGAGCCGCATATATACTTCTGGAGGTCCCCTGCGTTGCAGTACTGTTGCAGAATAAAGGCACACGGTACCCTTGGCCCAAAGTTACTGAGTCTCGCATTTTCTAGCCACACATGTCTATATGAGACTAGATTCTGGTGCGAGAGGTGCTGCAGCAACTGGACTTCTATGAGCACCTTCTTCAGCCATTCATGGTCGTCACCAACAGGAACCCTCTTGCACGCATAGTGGCCCAGAGGCACTCCATCGAGTATATGCTTTACCAAAAGCACAACGCCTTTCCCTCCTCTTCCGAGCTCACGCTCTTCGACAAAGAATCTCTTGAAGTAATCGTGGCTGAACGCAGCTGACGAGATTCCATGGGTGTTGCTATTAGAGGGCGAGTCGCCATCACGCCCACTAGCCGAAGCTGGTGTTGTAGTTCCTCCCCCTCCTTCTTCCTCCTGAGTGGGCTGTACCAACTGACGCCGTGAAGAAGGGGGAGTTGGTTGCTCCGCTGGCGGAGGGAGGCTGCTGTTCTCGAGGAGTCGAAAGTAGTCCGGCTCTACGAATCTCGACGGCGCTGAATTGGCCGGAGTAGACCCGTGATGAGATTCCTGAGGGTGTTCGGGATTACCATCGCGTAACGGACGATGGCAATAGGGGCATTCAGTTCGTTCTCCGATGTTTTCGACGCCTTGATTCGCGGGTTTGAGGACGAGCTGCTGTGAATTGGGATCAAACACAACGATCGCATCGTCATGGCGACTAACAGTCCAAGTCAGCTTCTTTGTCTTTTCGTCTGTAACTATGCGTCTTCTTCTTCCTAACACTTACAGTACGACGTGCCCTCCGCCGCTATAAGGGACTATAGACATGCTTCGCGAATCGTGGTCTGCCATTCTCATGCAAGCTTGCAGTCGGGCATATTACGTCAGGGCATCTTTTTCATAGATCAGTGACGGCCAGTTTGTTCTTGTCTAGTAATTATACGGTGGTTAGTAGGTGGTAGATGGCATTCGTCCTTTTGTCAGACAAACGGATAGAACCAGGCCAAGCTGAGTATTCCACAGTTAGGCACAAAACTGCTTCCCTTGCGCCGTTGTCGAGTCGACTGAGAAAAAACCCAAGGCGTAACTGGTCGGTTAGCTACCAAAGGTACCTAGGTACCGAGTTACCTCTCTCAAGCCCCGTTTTTGGTTAATTTTCCCGTCTTCCCGTATTTTTGTTTGTTGTTGTAGCTTGTCTTTGGGATATAACCCAGGATGTCATCGCGGCAGGTTTTTATGATTATGGATTCTAACTACAAAAATTGTTTGCTTTACGCGGTTCTAAGCCTTCTAATGGTATAATCTAACTATCATGTCATAATTTCTGCTCTATTTTTTCTTTTCTTTTATATTCTTTGTGGGAGTTATGAAACACAGCTCACTCCGGTCACAGCCTGGTCCACAAGCTGCTTCAAATCACACTATAGCCTCCAAAGACTTGCAGATTACATTGCCAGTTGCAAACAATGCTACTATATATACCAAGTTAAATATTCATAGAAATTAATGTATCTTTTTGTCTTTTATACTCACTTCTTTGGTGGCCAAACACTCAGTCACATGACATCGGATGGGAGAAACAATATTCAGGAGGCCAAAAAAAAGGGGATAGAAAGATTCATTTTATTCCTTCACAATCATCCTCACTCCCTTGCTATCCGTAGGTCCGAAGGGCGCAAAGAAGTCATGCTGGACGCTGATATCTCTCTCTGTTGTTTCAAACAGCTCCAGTCTGAATCTATGCAGTAAATTCCCTGCTAGAAGGTTGATCTCCATCTTTGCCAGTTCAAGTCCCAAGCACACCCTGCTGCCAGCTGAAAACGGGACAAAGGCCTTCTCCATGCGCCATAAATCCTGTTGACTACTCTCCAGCCACCTCTCGGGCATATAGCAGTGAGGGCGGTCGAATATCTTTTCGTTGAAATGCATGTTACGGATTGACATGGAGATGGCGGTGCCAGGCGGGAAGACATATGTTTTACCCGTTGGAGTGGTGTAGCTGGTGGGCTCTAGAGGATTCACCCGCGGAAGGCGGCCCGAGACACCCATTCCTATGCGCAGGGCTTCCTTGATGCAGGCCTGGAAGTAAGGCAAACCCACGAGTGTCTTGTTGTCTAGAAACTCTTGCTTGCTACCTGCCTTTGCGGCGGCATCTACAAGCTCTGCCGTGACTTTCTTCAAGACATGGGGGTTTGAGAGAACATGGAAGGTGAAAACAGAGAGCGTGTTCCCCGTCGTCTCTGTTCCTGCTCCGATAAGCGTGGCCGCCTCTGCCGTGAGTCGTCTCAGAGTCTTTTCTTCAGGCCCAAGCGCAGGACAGGTATACACGGCATCAAGAACGGTTGGAGGAGAGCCCTCCCGTTCTCCTTTTGATTCAAGAACCGCTTTTGCCTGCTTTTCTATCCTCTATCGTTTATACGATTAGTGCCATATCCCATAGCATTAGGGGGACATTACTCACAATCTGATTGTCCAGCACAGCAAGCGTGGCACCACTACT